ACGTTCAGTATGGCATATATTTTAGGTTAAAGACGGTCCCATTCATTTGAAAAGCATTTTGAAAGTAGACGATGGAATTATTTCAGGTTTAGGGAACGAGTAAATTATCACAAAGTTCATTTCTTGACGACCTCATAATTTCATCATGTCGATTTTTACTGTTCACTTTCGCTTCTCGTGTTTTGTAAACGGTCTTTTATTTTTAAACCCGAACCAGGCATATGCATTCTGTAATTGCGCAAATCTTCGTTCTTTGGTCAATTGGCTTATGGATAGTTGTATCAATTTCAACTCTTACATTATTTTTTTAAAAATGTATTTGCATTACACATGCAATGGCAGTACCTTTCCAATTACTATTTATGTGTTGTGTCTAAATTAAAGTTGTAACACTTTATAGTGACTGGAAAGGGTAGAAAAATTCATCAGATGAGAAAAGGCTGAAGATGCATGGAACGGCACCAAATCATTAGATATTGCATCTTATAAAAAGAAACTGAGATTTGGATAGTTCCACTTCAAGGTAAAAATGTTTATCTCTTGTGAAATGAAATAAAAAAATATTGTAACACTGTAGTTAATTAATAAAGATACTATTACATGTATTTCTGTATTGGCCTTATTGTTGGTCCTCGGCCAGCAGTATTGGCCTTCGGCTTCGCCTCAGACCAATACACCAAGACATGGACCAATAACAAGGACAATACAGAAATACTTACGCAATAATATTATAGAATGACAGTATGGTTCAATAGCGGGAATCAGCCCCTCAACTACTTTTTACATAAATATTAACTTCTGGCTTCAACTCCTTGTTCGTCTTGTCTGGAGATCTTGTTGTAGTTCCAGTTAGGCAAGCATTTTAGAGACGTATCCCGTCCATTCTCTCTTGACTTGTAATTTCTGGTGATAGATTTTGCCGCTTGACGTTGTATCTTTTCAAGCTTGTTTTTTTTTTGTTACTGTGTAGGGGTCCCATACTATGGCTCCATATTAAATTGTAAGATCCATTCCTAAAGGTCTAGATCATTGTTCTAATCTGACACAAATTTCAATAACTGGAATGCTACCCGAGTTGAATATATGGTGACCTACTAGAACAGCATTATCACTATTGGAATTGTGTTTAATACCATGATTGTTCAATGTCATTAACTTAAATGGAGACAGACATTTGACCTGAAAGGTGGTGTGGGAGTGCAAAATCAAAAACTAACTGACTATGATATATGGTTAAAGAATGAATATCAATTACATGGGTCAACATGGTCAAGGGCAGAGTTGTTATGAAATAACAATATGGCAGAGAAGTGGTTTCAAGTTTCATATAAAGCGACCTGACTGACATGAAATAAAAAATCAAAGGAGTATCCCTATTTGTCTAATCTTCAAGGTGAAATAAAACTAGTAAAACAATTATTATACTATTGTCTAAATCTACAGAAATATAATTTGCTTCAAGTAACAGAAATAACTAGGTCACTAGTAACTTATTTAATGAGTATGTGGGGTATAAGAGCTTGATAACAACAGGCTCTTCATAATCATTTGGTTTGAAAAGGTTACTAGTAGTCTATATTCTTGATTTAGAAAAATGTAATTGCAAGACAAAAATCACATTACTTAGAATACTTTAGATCATTCAGGTAGTCTTTATTTATATGTACAAAAGAACAGCCAGGAGTCATTGGATATTGTAGATCATTCAAATAATCTTGACCTATTTATTAGTACAAAAGAACAGCCAGTAGTCATTGGATATTGTAGATCATTGTGGTAGTCTTGACCTATTTATTTATAGAAAAAAACAGCCAGTAGTCATTGGATACTGTAGATCATTCAGGTAGTCTTGACCTATACATTTGTACTAAAAAAACAGCCAGTTGTCATCTTCACATAACACACACATATACGAATATCAATTATATGCTTATGAGACATGTTGGAATGTTAAACTAATTACGGTATGTGAAAATCAAGACTTGCATAAAAAATATCACAATATTAGAGACAGTGGCGTCATTTTTCCTCAGAGCTTTCAGCTCTTTGATTAAATCAATATGACAATACTAGACTTAAAAGTTGTAATAAGTTTAGTTTTGACTGACTCTTTGAGGTCAGAACATGATTTGACCTGTTAAAGTCAGTTTACAGAACAAAATTTCCAATCAAAGCTAGGTGTACTTCCTTTAATCCAAGAAAGTCCTTGCTTTCAGACTGTTTCTGAATCTGCCATTTTTGAGTTTATTATTTGATAAATTTTTAGAAACAATTAAGTCAAATGGTTATTTATTTTAGGGGATCTTCACATATATTTCCTGTGTCTTTTATCTGACGTTCCCATACATTCATTTAATATCATATGGCAATGCCCGGCTTAAATATTTCAATAAATTTATTTTAGTTTTGGACTGACTCTTTTCAGTCAGAACATGATTTGACCTGTTTAAAACAAAATACATTTAATATTGAATATACCAAATAAACTTTTTTATAGTCCTCATTATTGTGACTTATGGGGACCTAATTTCCTCAGTCTTTTATCTGGCTTACCTATACATTTTTAAATCAATATGACAATACTAGACTTAAAAGTTGTAATACGTTTAGTAAGTCAGAACATAATGTGACTTGTTTGAGTCAGTTTGCACAACAGTATTTACCTCAATGATATATTAAAATAATAAATGTTTTGCTCTTAATACATTTAGCTTAAAGTGGATGAGAATATATCTTTTATTAACATAGTCTTATCATGAATAAGTGTCTTGTTTTTCCTTGGAAGATTTGAAGTATTGTCATGTAATGTATCCAATATTGTATTTTGTAAATCTTTTGATATTCAGAAAATTGTATGATCCATTTTTTCTCACCTGTATTTTGAAATAATTGAAAGTGATGAGATATATATATTATGTTTAGATTCTGGAAAGGAGAAGGTATGATGTCAGATGAGCCCCACTTTTTAAAACTCTTTAATTCGAAACTAGTAATCACCATATTTTTATGGAGATTGATAACAAAGTGGTAGTAATGACTGCTTCAAATCAGAACAAAAATGACCTCTCAAAGTCAAAATGCATTAAAAAGGGGCATAAATCTTATTGGAATATGAAGATATTAAGTCACAATATTTTGTGCAAAATCTGACCTGTGGAAGTCATTTTGTGATAAATTAAAGTCTGACATAAACTGACCTGTACAAGTCATATTCTGTTGAGTGCAAGAAGGGAGACAACACTTACATCAAATTATATCTGACCTATGGAAGTAATTTTATTCTGACTTGTTTATGTCAGAGCTCTGACTGATATTGATGATATGCAATAATAACACTTGCACTTTGATTGTACCTAATAAAGGGAGCATTTTGTTATGTTATATGAATACCACATCAAAATTAATTTTATTATTTCAGACTGAAAGATTATTTGCAAGACTGAGTTCTCTGACTCAATGTCACTATCATGTGTCGATCATTAAATCATCATTTCTTCCCAAACCGCTAGGTTCTCCTATGGACCTATTCATTCTGTTAGTGGTATGGGTTAAACCAAGGATGTAAATACACCTGGCCACCTTGTATATGATTAAACCTTTTTAATTTATTGATTGTGTCAAAACGAGCTTTTACAATTTATTTTGATTTGTATATATATTGATATATGATCATGAAGTACATAAAACATTTCACTAAGAAATCTGCCTTTTTAGATTTTATTTTTTACATCTTAACTTATTATTTTTATATATAGATCTTATTAAATTAAACCTCTTTTAATGTATTGTTATGCATAAAAGCAAAATCAAATGAAACATACTTTAATTTAAAATTTTATAGTTGTGGTAAAACTCCATATGGAGGTGCTCCTAATTCAAGGAGGCTTATACTAAGAAGAAGCATTAACATTGGTTTCTTTCCTCCTTACTTATATTCCCCTTGGCAATGGCTGCCAGCATGCTCAAATACGTTCAATCAGAGACATATTATACAAGTATTATATGTCTCTGGTTCAATCAATGAATATTTATTTCATTTAGTATGATCAATAAAACAATCATTCATATTTTTGGGAATGTATAAGTGTTGAATTTGATATATTTTACATCTGACCTCGATTTTTCACTTGTCCCATCGGACAAGTAGTATGGTGAATCTACTTGCCCGACGCCTGTGTCCACTTGTCCTGGACAATCGGACAAACGGTAATGTCGAGCCCTGTTACTTTTTTTATTTTTTTTTTATTTTTATTTTGAAAGCAATAATAGATTGAGAGAAACTTTTTATAGCAAAGATGATCAGAAAGACAAGATCTACAATAAGTGAATATGTCAGAAATCATCAGTCGACTTCTAATTAGAGTTATTGCCTCTTAACATGATGTTACCATTTTTTTTGTGTTTTTGATTGTTATCTTAATAACCTTGATAGATATAAAGAAACTTTAAAGGAAGAGAAGATCAGCAAGACAAAATCTAAATATTTGTATAATGGCAGAAATTATTAGTCAATTCCTTATTGGAGTTACTGCTCTTTAAAGACAAGTTTAACTATTCTTTTGCATTGTTGTACCAATTATCTTGAAAACTATGATATATAAATATACACTTTAAATAAAAAATTATCAACAAGACAAGATTTACAAATAAGTTAAATCTTGCTGAACTCGTAAGATTCTCTACAAGACTCTTTACAGGAATTATAGCCCTTAAATGACGAATTGTTTTGGCCCTTTTTTGTCTTTTTTGCAATAAGTTGTGAAGATATAGAGAAACTGTAAACAGAAAAAATGATCAGCAATCATGGCAATACAAGATCAATAAAAAAGAGATTTTTGCCATGAATTATATTGTCGTCTTTTGTCGAAGAGTGTCCATTGTTGAAGATGCACATAGACCTAGGTAAGCGACACAGGCTCTTTAGAACCTCTATCTAGTTTGATTGAGTTATATACTTATTAATTGGCCTTATCTATTGATTAATTTATATATATTTTCAGCTGTAGAAGAAATGGAAGATGATGATGATGAAGAAGGTCCTATGGTATCCATAGGTGGTGCTAAAGTTTCGATACATGATGTAACAGATGACATGGTTGCTAAAATGACACCCCAGGAGAAGGAGGAATATATTAGACTTGGACAAGAAATGTATCAAGACATGTATGAATAATGGTGAAATTTAAAGTTCACTATTTTCAGGAAACATTCGCAGCAGTTCTATTTTGTCTAATTCCACATGTGTTCATTTACAAAATAGACATTTATATAAAGACATGTTAGAGACAAATTGTTCATTGTTGTTAAAAAAAGGAATTACTTGATACTATGAACAAAATGGGTTCTTTAATTATCTAGCGTTGTTATTTGTTATACATATATATCAGTTATTCTTACATGACATGGTAGATACAATTTTAATCAATGTGTAACATTTAAGAACTTGTCTGATTGTCACTATTTGATTGTTTAACAATTCTTTTAAGTGATCCTTCAAAGATTGATCTTGTAAATTTCAAAGATATTGCCAAGCAATATAATTTTAGTTTTTTTTTAATGTCACCCTCTCGGGCAGACCAATGAAATATCAATAATTTAAGGAACAATGAATTGAATTTACATCAATAATTTTAAAGACAATGCTCAAGTTTTACAGCATCAGACCATTTTAATAGAAAGTCAACATAATACAAGAGGATGATGGAGCAGATTTTTACCATTCGAATAAACATTGTCCATCTTGGCTTCCCCTTGGTTGACAATGTTTCTTGGGATAACAGTCTGCTCTATCCCCCTCTTAGCTATATGTTATTAACATATTAACATGGATTTTAAGAGCAATATTTTCAGTTCATGCAGTGTAGATTTTATATTGCAAAACCCTAAATAACTGAAAGTTCTAGTTTTACTGTAATTGTATTTTCCAAGGTATTTTATGAATACTCAGTGGGAAATCTAGTGACAAAATATTGCCTCTTCTGTAAATATTGAAAAATAGAACTTCTCAATGTTTGTCCCATTTTAGCAAGGACGCTATCAATTATGGATTCATTGGAAACTGTACTGGTAAATAGTAAAAATAGAAATAAGTTGAAATAAAAACAAAACTTCCATTCAATGTTATCATTTCCCTCCTTCATGTCCTTAAGTAGCAATTGACTAGTACAGCAGGCTATAGAAGCTTGTTGTAAAATTGGTTTAAAATGTTGCTATGCGAATAAATTCCTGGAGTATCAACTTCAATTTATTTTTCACTGGCTGTATACCTTTCTGGAACATGCTAATTATCTGAATATATATACAGCTAGATCAGAGAAAGTCAGGGGAAAAAATCCCAAAGGAATCAATTGATATGCAGCAAAGATTGGCACTTTTGAAAGTTACTAAGCAAATTCAAACGGACCTTATCTCGATGTTAACTTTGAATATGAATAAATCGAGATGGCCGCAAATACATGAACAAAAATCGAGACTACCTTTTCTTAAATTCGTATAAAAAATAGTAGAAGATACCTACTTTATAAAAATAGTTATTTTTAATTTATTTCTTAACTTGCACAGACAGACTTTTAAATTTTTATATTCACATAAAGACAATATTTCTCTATTGAATGTACATGTGACAAGAGCAGACCAGTGTGCTCGATAACTTAAGTGTGAAAAAATAAGTATACTTTGGGAACTTGTAACATGCTAAGGACTTTGTGGAACACTCCGAAATTTGGTGACCCGAAAGATTTTTAGATTTTGTATATTCATGATTTTTTCAATTTTTTTTATCAATATGCATTAAAGATTGGCAGTTTTTAAATTTCCGTTTCAGTAGCTTCTAATGCATTTATCTTGATTATACTGAACATAAAACATTGTGTTTTTGCATGTATATTTCTAATAACACAGTTTAACAATTAACTTATTTAAAATGAACAATTATTATTTGGAAATAATTTTTTGATCGGTATCGTCACCGGCATTGTTTTATTATTGACTTTCTCGACTCTATCATAAGAAGAGTGAATTTTCTTTTCACTGGATATTCCACTGTACTTATATTTACTATTTATGAATATTTTTTCTGTCTTGAGTCTGGTTTGTTCCTTTTGGTTTATTAAAAAATAATCAACACTATAACTATTGTTCATACATGTCAACACTTTTGCAATAATACATAAAGGAATTTCAAAATGTATAATCTTGTTTATTAGATTTGAAAAAAAACATTTAATAATAAACTTTAGAAACTTGTTTGATAATGTGTTTTATTTTTTATTATGAAAATACAGGCTTTGCTCTATTTTGGAAAAACTTCATGTAAGTGCAGAGCTGACCACTGAATATGATACTACAGGGGGAGGGAGAATTCTTGATAATTTTCCCCTTTTTCATCTTAATTGACTAGGATCTCCAGTTACTCTGGTTTCCTCTACTATTAAAATTGGCTTCCATTGTAAAATCAAGAGTTCCATTAAATTCCGACATTCAATCAATCAATCTTCTTTTTCATAAGACTTAACATTTATATGTGCAAACTAGAGTGGATATGTTTCTATTAAACTGACATGAGAACTTGTAGGTGAAATGAACTTTGTTGTTCCTATACGTTTCTCTCACTGCTCTATCAGTACAAGCAGAATCTTGGCATGGTAACTTGACTGATCATGTCCACCTTTTAAACCAATGGAAAAAACTAAAATCACAAAAATACTGAACGAGGAAAATTCAAAACGGAAAGTCCCTAATCAAATGGCAAAATCAAATGATAAAACACATCAAACAAATGGACAACAACTGTCATATTCCTGACTTGTTACAGGCATTTTCAAATGTAGAAAATGGTTGATTGAACCTGGTTTTATAGCGCTAAACCTCTCACTTGTAGGACAGTCGCTGATTATTTATTTAGTAAATGCCCTTCTAATCTAGAAAAGAACATAAACGCAACTCTCTAGACTGTAGTGTTTTTACAGTAGGTCAGTTTGGGAGTTAATAACCAATGTCAAACTGGATACTAATTATAACTCTCTCTATTACAGGCTTTGTCCCTTATTGATTAACAATACTTTGGTAACATCATGTTAACAAACCCTACATTTGATATTATTTTTTTCATGTTTGTCAGATATTTAGTGAAAGCAAAGTATATATTTATTTCATAAGGATGTATCTGTCCTGTACATGCCTGTAATGTTTGCCACTGGGCATTAATCAGACAATTTAGTAATCAATCAATCCAAGTAAAACCTTTTTTTTTATATATTTGATTGAATAGTTCATGATTGATGAGTTAAAGGATCCAGAATGTCAAGGGAAACAATTGCAAGAACTAATTATAATAAGTAATTTAGCAACAAGATTAACAAATATTATCACTGCATAACAACGGATCAGATAGAGTCTATCATTTTCATTTGGTTAAATTCAAGAAGTTAGAAAGAAATTGACATCATTACTTGTTTTGATTGGCTTTTGGAAGTAGGTGACAGAATTTGTACACATTGTATCAAAATGTGTGGATTATCTTTTGCTTGTCCTGCCAAAATATATCTATCAGTTGGATGAACTAATACTGAGATGACATGGCCGAAAATTCTAAAATGATAATATATCAAGAATAAGGTATAAGATGTTTTTTTCAGTAATTTCACATGAAATTTTAACAACAAAAAAGGATTTTGATTTGTTTCTTTCTAAAGATCTTGTTACATGACACAACACATTGTAAAAGGAAAGTGACTGATATTACAAAAGAACATACTCATTTAAGACTGGAATTACTGTACATAGCAGTCAACACTCCCATGTGTTAATGGCAAATTGACTTAGCAAGACCTATTTGAATGTTGATCCCAAATTACCAAAACAAACAAAAATCTGATGATCAGAACTTCTTTGCTTGATTCCATGCACATGTTCATTGAGTTAATGTTTTTTTTTAATTCACAGTGAACAGAATTCAATCAAGTACGGTTGGGAAGGATATTTTTTTGCCAATCATTGGGGAATAAAAATATAGATCACATTAACCTCAGGATTACAAAATTTAATAGTTGTTTCATAGAATGCGAGATCTTGTTAAAGAACAGCTTTAGGAGCTCTGATAAGCTACAGTGTAATGCAATTAGTTTTTGCTACCTTGATTATTAACGTGAAAAAAGTTTGGCAGAGTGACCAACATGTCAATTTGTGATAGGTTTCCAGATAATTGTATATGTACTCTCTGAACAAAACTTTTGAATTGTGTACACAATGTCATTGACCATAAAATCAGGACGAAGTCTGATATAATATATTTCGAATGTACCACTAGGACTTCCGAAACCTGCCTTGGTACCGTCATTTACAACGCCATTAAGGACATTTCATTAGATGTTATATTCTTATCTAGTTTTATTCTGGTTAACCTGTATTTATATTAGGGATGTCAACTCGGTGAAGATTTACTAATCGAGTACTCGTTGGATTTACCGAGCGATACTCGAGTACTCGCTCGGTAAAACATCTACAAAATGGAAACACGAAATTGTACCTATTTTATATATTGTGGGTCGGTGTCATATGAACGTAAAACCCTCAACATTATTACCTAGGACTAGATAATAGTTCAAGGACTTTTATACCATAATTAATAGCTAATTTACTACATGTTCTAATTATGTAAACTGGCAAAAATCTAATCAAGTAATTAACTAATATCTATAGAAAAATGATTACTCAAACAACAGTATTTGGGAACCGTGATGATCAACAAAGGGGTGGTGATAAGAACTTGCTGATGCCTTTAATCATTTTCTGAGGGTCGACACAGGATGCAACGAATTTTTATTTTTTTCTTCTTTAAAAATATTATCTTGTCATTTTTTTCTGGGACGAGGCGATTTCTCAACTTTTTGATGTAACTAAAAGTCCGCTGATGAAAATTATATGCCCTGACGGTACAGAGGTGGGGTAATAACTAAGATTAGCTAAAAGTGTAAGCCTTGGAAAAGTGCTCTTGTTCATAGCCTACCTATGTTTGGAGGAATTTTAAATGACAGTTAAACGCAAACATTCGAATCGTATTTTAATTTTTATTAATTTTAATTAATATTTATGTCATCCCGGGAGGCGCTCTCAATAAAAATACATTTTGTTTAAGCTTAAGAAAACAACAACATTCTAACAGGACACCGATTAGTCGAGTATCATTTTGGTATTCGATACTCGGTACTACCGAGCGATACTCGAGTACTCGAGTACTCGTTGACATCCCTAATTTATATAGTTATAGTCCCAGACCCTTGTCCATATTTTATTCCACATGTATCAATTGATCTCAAAGTATGTAATGATGAAATACAGTAGTTTTATCTTGTATAATTTATATTAGTCATATAACTTTTGACGTGACTCGGTATTTATGCATCCCGACATCTGTTTTTTTACTTTTAACTTTGGGCATTTCTGGTGCAGCTGGGTCCTGGGATGCGATTTGAACACAATGGGGTTTTACAGTGTTGTTTCTATTTTGTTTACCCTTGTATTTATTTTTACTTAATTTTTACTATATCGAGAAAGTGAATTCTATATTCTATCAACAACAAAAACATTTTTTTTTGTGTGACAGCATTGTCAAATTTACGTCACTGAAGAGTCTTTTGTAGACGAAATCGTATCTGACTTACAAAATTTTAATCCTGGCATCTATGATAAGTTAATTATTATCTACTTCACCTTTTTTTGTTTGTGTCTTTGTTAGATTAATTTGTATGTTTGTTTGAATTTTTTAGTCAATTGTGTTGTGTTGTATGTCTGTGAAGTATGATTACATTTTTGGCTGCTGGATCCCAATTATTTTCACATTTACATATTATGTCTGATTGGGTTGCTTAACCAATTTTGTCAATATAACGGAACTAAACAATTGTCATACAAGTGGGAGGTTTATCTAGCTATAAGACCAGATTTAGCCCAAAAGTTTCTTCGGAAAATGCCTGTACCAAGTCAGGAATATGGCAGTTGTTTTTCACTTGTTCTTGTTTCGGTGACTGATAGCGCTTGATTTTGTCAGTTTATTATGGACTTCCCCTGTTTGAATTTGCCTTGGAGTTCCGTATTTTTGTTATCCTTTTTCACAGTAACATTAATGAATGTATGATAAATACATACTCGTAGATATAAGAAGGTGTGGTATGAGTGCCAATGAGATGCCTGACTTAAAAATTTACCAGTGATGCATTGATTACGTTCGTTAAAATCTATGACATCACTACACACACGGGCATAATGAACGAGTTGGGATATATAAACACCGTATGATGGAGCCAAAGGAACATCGCCGTCTAAAAAGGGAAAATTAACAATAGGGAATGAAAAATCGTCTCTTTTGTCGTAAATTTTAGTATGGAGTTTCCCTTTAAATACCATGATTTATTTCAGAATATGTTTACTTGCATTAGAGTGAATGCAATCATATAAAAGGACAAAAAAAAAATCGTTTAAGAATATGTCGGTTCTAACATGTCTAAGATTTAAGGGGTGGAAATTAAAATTCAACCAAGGGACAGCACCAACATAAACACGATTGTCCATATTTTGGTCATGCACAGCTAATGTGAAGATATAGAGGCAGCCAACATTAAAGAAGAGAGTAATACGATCTTGGATAAACCCGGTATACATTAGTGAGACAAACTTAAAAACTACAGAAACACCAAGAGTACATTATAGTCAAGCAGCTAAGTCCAATTTTTCATCAGAATTCTGCAAAATGTGGTAAAAGCATCAAACTTGGTATATAAGCTCCTAGCACCATTCTAAGCAAAATAAGATATGGAGCCAACCTGAAAAAAATCAACTTCCGGTTTTTTCCATGAAGGCGGACAAAATTGCAAAAGTTCTAAACTAAATATCAAAGAAACCGTACACAAGATGGTAAAACAATGAAAGTTTGTATATTATCTCTTTAGACCCTTCTTAACAAATAAAGATATGAAATCAATATGAAAAACTATCAACTTCCGGTTTTTTCCAAGATGGCGACCGAGATAACAAAATGTTAAAACAAGTCAAAAGGAAGTTGCAATATATACCAAAAAATTATATCAGATGAGGACAATAATTGAAAGTAATATATATACAGTAGCTGTTATATGCAATAATACGTTATTTTACTTGTTTGTGTCGGTAAACCCTATACTCGCTGCAGTCCATCAGGAACAATCTCTACCACACTTGCCTAAAGCTGTATTCGGAAGGGCGGATTTGAA